TTTCTCGCACATTATTGTCTCTGTTTCGACATTTCTTATACACGAAATGTCGATAATAACATTTTCGGTGGAAACGAGAGTCGATGTAAACAATGTCGGTGAAATGCGGTGTTGCTGAAATCGTGTTGACGAAAACATTGCTGATGATTTCAAGGTGACCCGACTTTTCAGGAAATCCGTGATCGTTCTGTTTACAAACAAGGCTTAATCCTTTGCACTCGGAAAAGATTTTGCAAACATCTAGATTTCGTTTATATAGAGTCGAGTCGAAAGAAAAATCATTGTGCTGCTCGAAAATTTTATCAGAATTAATAATTAAAAGATTTTGCGTTTTTAATTATACATTTTACGTGATTGCTTTACAGTGTGAACAAAAATAACAATTAAAAAGAGATGCCACTTCGATCGCCGAATTGGCGACATTCGCGTGCAAAGGGTTAAAACGGCCATTTCCTAGCATCCTGCGTTTCCCAATTAAATACCCTGCGCCTGGTTCGTATTACGAACCGTTTCCAACTCCAGCCCAACACTTCAACCCTTCGCACTCGAATGGCGACCCTGTGGCGCCACTAAAAATTGCTATACTATTTTTCAAAATCATTCTAAGAGCATCAGACTCGATTGTATTTAAAAGAAGCTATTAAAATTGCCTTGTACTTGCCATTAGGTTCAATTTCATACGCACAAATCGCAAATAAATTATATAAAATAGAAATACCGTAGATCGGAAATCATGTTTTCGATTTTGGAATTCAAATAGCTTCGACTACAAAGGGTCCAATATTCCCGGAGACGTTCTTCGACATCCGCGAAGTTCCATTTCCACGGAAGGCGGAAAATTAACATGTCCCGGCGTCCTGCGTTTCCCAATTAAATGTTTGGCTCGTTGTCCATACGAGGGACCATTGACCGAGGAGCGCGTTCCACGGAAATGCCCCATGGGTATGGGGTAAGCGCGGGAGATAGCCACCGGGTGGTTTTTTCGACCTCGCGATACGTAGGTACATGCACAGTTCCTTGCGGCGAGCGGCCGTTCCGTTTCCTCATGCCGCGCATACGTGCCTAACGAGCAACGCCGGTGTAATGCGCATAACGCCATTATAATAAACTTCGTACTCGCTCATTCACAGGCGCTCGCGATCGCGCTCACGATCGTGCTCACGATCGCGATGGGCCCCGGCCGGCCGAGAGCGAAACGGTATTGGTGCACGCACACGGGACAACACCGGGCCCGTTCCGTTTTCCACTGGACGCGGTGAACCGCGAGATGCATGCCATTCCTTGCCAATTTACGCCGACCAGTAATTTTTCGTTCGCCGTTCGGGAGATGGCTGCGGATAACTATGCTCTTTTCTAACTCAGGAATCCGTACCGGCGCGATTTATCTCTGCCCGGCCGTTTGCATTTTGTTTGCTTGCCCGCCTCCGTGAAAGTTCATTTTACTTGCCGCCGATTTCGACATCTGCCGTTCAGCCTTTTTTCCGCGCTGTTTGTTTTGGTCGCGGCACCGAGAAATTTTATGCCAGCGACGATTTATTGGATCTATCGATACTGTCTATAGTAATGGTCTCTCTAATTGACGCTCAGGTTGTCCACAAAAATGGACAATTTTGGTTATTATTAATTTACTGTAACTCATTGATGAGCAATTTTAATTTCTATTCGTTTCACTGCTGTCGTTTTTATTGAATTCCCTGTACTCATAAGCTGCGACAAGTAATTTTTCATAATTTATACGGTAGTATAAATTTAGTAGCATAAATTTAGTAGTATAAATTTAGTGATATAAATTTAGTAGTATAAATTTAGTAGTGTGAATTTCGTAGTATAAATTTAATAGTATAAATTTAGTAGTACAAATTTAGTAGTACAAATTTAGTGGTATAAATTTAGTAGTGTGAGTTTCGTAGTATAAATTTAATAGTATACATTTAGTAGTATAAATTTAGTGGTATAAATTTAGTAGTATAAATTTATACCGTAGCATCATCTGTTGCGGAATAATTGTACGGATCATTAAAAGACAAACGGATTTGTTAACGTAATTGAATGTAATAGAGGATATCAGAGCAAGTTAACTAGTTCCTTTTCATTATTACACCGGAGACATAAAAATGTAAATGAGCTCATAGAACATCCTCCGAAAATCGCTAAAAATCCACTTACCGAATGCTCCGAAAGCAACGTTCGATAAAATATGCTGTAACGAGCGAGTTCGGGGGCAGATTCTACGAGATTGCACGAAACTAATTAAACAGCCGACCTAGATACCATCGAATAGATTAATGGCCACGGTTGTTACGCGGATATTATCCTAACAACGTGGTAGCAAAGTAAATCATACCAACATAATTGCGGCGCAAAGCGCGTTGTTATACGACGGTCTCATGAATATGTACGTAGACGCGCAGTATAGAACAATGCCCGTGGTTATCGTTTGGCTCACGATTCGATCAATGATAATGACCGCAGAAAGAGAGCAGAGTTCATCTGGGTAGGTGATGAAAAAATAATTGCTTTCCCGCCGACCTGGGAAAGGCCTCTACGCCAGGGCCTTTAGCGCTGCGATACGTGTTTCCGGAAGTTGTTCGGAACTTTATGCCGCTAATTACTGTTGTTACAGAAAATTATGTTTTCCCAGCCTCGGTTGTTATTACCGTTTTCGATGTAACGCTAAATTCGAGATCACTCTCGTCAGATTATTCCGCGAAAGGTTTTTTGCCCATTAAAGTATAATCAGATCGGAGTTGATTTTACAGTAAGATAATCGCGCGAACATCTTATTTCAATAACAAAAAGAGTCAGGCGATAATGAACCGTCTTACTAGACGTTGAAATCTCTTCTTTTTTCCTTTTTATCGACTGTTAATCAATCTTGCCACATGGCATTTTATTTCGTCCTTTATTTACCAAAATAACGAGATCGCAGGACTTCTAGAATGAATGAAATCAACGTTCTTGAACATTCTTTCTTGTTTCATCAAATAATTCGAAGCAACACTGTGCTGCAGATTTAAGTTGTTTTCCAGATCAATCGCAAAATTAGTACTACAAGCAATTTTGACTATTCCACGTTCACGTGAAAATGTTTTAAGTCAGGATCGATACCAAATGCGACGTTGAGTAGCAAAACGATACACAGTAATGTCTCCCTTACTGACGCTCAGATTGTCCACTAAAATGGATAATTTTGGAAGAGGAGATTGCGACTCGTTTCTATAATTGTGAACAAATTATAACTATAAAAATAAACTGCAAGGCTCGAATAATCGTATCTCCCCTTCCCAAATTGTCCATGTTTGTGATCAATCTGGGCGTCAATCAGAGAGACATTACTGTGTCCGCGTTTTCGTTTAGTATATCGCGCGATAAACATGAATGAAAAATGTCTGGTCTACGAACGCCCCACAAGTCGAAAGCCGCAATCTTCGTTCAAACCGGCCAGCGTTTCGACGAATTCGGCAACGTTTTTCGATACTGATTTACCGCGCGATACGTAAACGCAGATACGGAATAGTCGGCCAAGGGAAACCGAGCGTTTAACATCGGCAATAACCCGGTGCCTATCTCCGCTCTTATTATTGCGGATACCATCGATCAAGCCGTATGGAACGATCACGCGAGGCAAGAAACATCTTCGTCGACAATTTTCCCTCGCCGGACGGGCATCGTGCACCGTGCTCGCCGATCTGAATCCGCTCGAGCGGATGTGATTCATGCGTTTCAATGATTCCACGTGGCCGATACAACATTCTCGATAAGGATAAAACCCGTTCATTTGGAAATAAACGCGCTTCATTCTTAGAGGAGCTGCCTGACGTAATTCCACGTTTACGCACACGCTCTGCGCGCGCGCGCGCGCGCTGACTCCGGGACAGGTGTTCCGTTCGTTTAATAAAGACAAATCGCCGAGCGTTATTACGGCTACACGCTTTTGTCGAGAATCATTTAATCCCCGAAGAATTTCTGATGGAAATTCCTCTTGATCGGTGCACGTAATTACGTGCCGGGATCGCAAGCTCTCGTGGAAACGCCGGCGTTTTGCTAATGTTCGGCGAAGCAGATCGAACAGAAAACTCGCTTCTATTAAAGATGCAAGATTACATTTTATCTCTGTTGTCGATTTGGACAACGGGTATCGCGAGTCGTCGATTTTCAACCTTTCTTCGATAAACGAAAATCAGTTTTTGAAATACAGTGATGTCTCTCTAATCGACGCTCAGATTATTCACAAAAATGGACAATTTGGGGAGAGTAGATACGATTATTCGAGCCCTTGCGGTTCGTTTTTATAGTTACGAATTGTCAATAACTATAAAAACGAGACGAAAGACTCGAATAATCGTATCTCCTCTCCCCAAATTGTCCATTTTTGCGGACGATCTTAGCGTCAGTTAGGGAGACATTACTGTAGTTCGATGTGAAACGTGCTTACTTTAATCCTTAACTTGCTGGTCGATGAGACCGCTATTAATTACCGATTCGTTATTATTGATCATTCTTATTCGTAATCGCAAGAAAAATTGTGGAAGAGAAAACGTTTTCGATACACTTGCTTCTACGCCGAACCTCTTTATTATTGATGCGCGAAGTAAGAAGCAATCGATGTTGATTTTTTTTTTATTTAAAAAATATCTAACAGTTTTAACGGTGTAGTAGAGTCAAGGGTTAACCCACGCACGGTCCCGTAAAATGTTCGATATCTTCCTGTTTGGATTGGAAGGCGGCATGTTCTTGAGTGCATCATCTGTTGACCGAAAGCGTAAAGCAGAACTAGGCGGAGTATTATCTTAGGATCTTTTATGCAACCGTTTCTGCAGAGCGCGCAAAGAGACCAACAAAAATATCATCTAAAGAGAGCAAGTAAATGATTGTTTATGGAAACGTACCGGCAGCCCGGATATCTGCGAGCGTGCACGAGAATTATGACATCTGCGGTGAATGCTGTTCGATAGAAAACCGAAGTTCCAACGCTATCGGGTCTAGGGTGCAGGACTTACCTAGATTCTCCCGTTCTCCGAATCCTCCGCCTCCGGCTTCGCACAGGTGCACCTGCAGCGGAAATAAAACTATCGTCAGATCATAGTCATTCTGCCTGGCCGCAGAGAGAAGAGACTCGATCCCGGCCCGATACAGGATCCGAGGCATCGAATTGAACGTGAACAACGCGGGAAAAAGGACGAAATCCTCGGGTAAAAACGGAGCACCCGTTCGACGGAAGGGTGCCAGTGGCGGGAATTGTTTGGACGACGTTCGATTGCACCTGCAAGAAAACGTTTTTTTTCCTTGGACCGCGCTACAGCTTGCGGCACGCGTAAAAAATATTACAGAAACTGTGTCGCAGCAAGAATGATTCGCGATAGATGGTTTAGGACAGGCAGAAGTGTCGGTGATCGGTTGAAAAATACTTGGGAACCATGGATGTGTGCCAGTCTCTTTTTTATTCCACATTCGCAATGAATGTTCACGCGAGTTGTTTTTTAGAGTGTCCATCGATTGCTAGAAGATTACGATGTCAATATGCCGACCAAATACATTTTGTGATTGCATCATTTTGTAATCGCACATCAACTATATTATATCTAGGCTGCAAATAAAATATTGAAAATATTGAACCTCGCGATTGCGTGAATAAATATTGCGTATTCACGCGGTAGACGTGCTATCGAATCGTGACGAAATTCTATTTCGTGCTACTTGCCTGATCATTGCTCGCCAGTTCTACTTCTTACAAACTCTGCCAAACATCAGTAATCATAGATAAGATATAAATGCATTTTTATTGACGAACGACGAAACACGGTGTTGACAGTCGAAAGAAATTAAATAGCGATGATTTAACATTAAACCTACCGAGCGCTAAAAATGACTGATATGTACTGTTTTATAAGACTGATAACCATTGAGTTTACCTAGCCTCTGTAACATATTTGTTACAATTCATGTTCGAATTAAGGAATTTAGTCAATCGATTCCAGTGAAAAAATCTACAGAATTTCAACAATTTAACCAGTTAACAGTGGCGATCTCTTTGCAAAGCGCCCACCAGTGTGTGACGCGATAATATAATAATTATAATTATATAAAATAATTAATTATATAATAATTATAATTATTAATCAGGATTAAATTATTTACAATTTTCATTTGTTTGTTTCATTTCGTCTTGACCTCTAAACATTTTAAACATATTAAAATTTATACGAATACAATTTAGTTTTCGCCAGAATTACAATTTAAACATCAAATTGTAACCAAATTTTACGAATGACGGATATAATCGTCATGACACAAAATTCTGCCACATCTCCATGACGGATACAGTCGTCAAACACACTTGACTGATTAAAAATGAAAGAGACATGAAACTGGTCATTTTGACCGCCAACGTCTTGAAACTAAGAAACCCAAAAATGTACCTTCCGCTTCAATGGAATTGATTTCGTCGACGAAATCTGTTGACAATCCTTCCTCCCGCTTCGATTATAACCCTACAATATTTCTAAATTACCATTCAACATTAGACTTATAGAAACGATCGTTACAGTTTCGTGCCGATCTGTCACGGCAATGTTTCCTAACAGAACCAGAAGGCCAGTAATTAAGTTCGCAGAAATCCTGGTAATGAGGTCGCGCTGTTCAAAAGTTCTCGACCTTCCATCAATGAAAAGACCATGCCAATATCTGCGATATCACAGTGGCCATCCAAAGAATTCTTCTACACAGAATCGCGCTGCCAGAAGCGTCGATCGAATCCTCAACCCTCGCATCATCCCTCGGCCAAGCGGAAAGACGAACCAGCTTGCGCGAGCTTGCCAAGCGGCGACCGAAGAGGAACGAGCCGTAGCTCGGCCGGTCTCTCGGCGATCTGGAAAGAGTGGCGCGCGAGGTCCAATAAAATCGCTCTACTTCGACAAATCGCCTTAATTTCATCGTCAATAAGCCCGAGAAACTCGCGCGAAGTATGCCGATCGGTGCTCTCTTCTCCTCTCCTCTCTTCTCCTTGGCTCGCGCGCGGCCACGCACACCGCCAGAGAAACGGAAGGCATGTCGTGTCGGTGGCGGAGACCGAGCGGACTCGAGCGAGGCGAGCGAGACGAGCAAGCGAGCGAGTTTAACGAATCCGAGCGGGCATCAGGCGCAGAACGGAACGGAACAGAGCAGAACCGAGCAGAGCAGAGCAGAGCAAAGCAGATCAGAGCAGAGCAGATCAAAGCAGGTCAGAGCAGATTAGAGCAGAGCAGATTAGAGCAGAGCAGGGCAGAGCAGAGCAGAGCAGAGCAGAGCAGAGCAGAGAAGAGCAGAGCAGAGAAGAGCAGAGCAGAGAAGAGCAGAGCAGAGGAGAGAGGAGAAGAGAGGAGCAGAGCAGAGCAGAGCGGAGCAGAGCGGAGCAGAGCGGAGCGGAGCCG